CTTCTAATAGTGCTGTAATTCTTGGGTTCCATGGTGGATTTAATGTAAATTAGTTTCATATTAATATTTTTATATATAGAGGTAATCCTATATTAATTCTATTATGGTTTATATTAATCACATTCTGGTATGATAAAGTGAACATTAAAATTAACCAGTCCATAAGTTATGAATGAGCACTATTATTATTACTTTTCAAATTACACTAATCAATTTTACGGCCACATCATAATTAGCCTCTTCATTTATGTCACATAATAGAATGTTCACTTTGTCTGGTTTTGTTGCAGCATGCCCCATTTGTACCAAAAATTTTGATACACAAATTGACTAGTACTACATAGGTACTCTTAATATAAACGGGCTGATAAAATTTTCACTTGGTAGGAACTTTAACTTTGCCAATTACCCCTGTCACACCTTATATAATTTTTTCTCTTTGAAATATTAAAAAAAGTCTTACTATAACGGGTAACACACTACCTATTTAAGGATTTATTAGATTACATTATCGTAATCGTTATAAATATATATGCTTCATTATTTTCTAAAAAAAAACGATCAAAGGGCCATCTCAACAGCTTGATGCCCCGATCCAATATTGCCTTAAATAGGTAGGGGCATTGACTAAATTGGAAATTGTTTATTTTTTCACATGAACCTAACTTAGGTCGGCATCGCACCTAACAGATTTGGAAATCGGAAATTTTTGGAATGATGGGTGCTTACTAGCTATTGCCAAATAAGGCATTACTTAGGATGGGCGCAGATAGTAACACAACCACATGAAAATCAACGAACACGAAATTCATATTCCAATTTATTCAGCTTAGCTAAATGTCGTATCGCTGTTTACGATTCTTTGATGTCATTGAATCAGAAAGAAAAACCCATTCTCAGTGCGACCATAACGACTATACAAACAGTTGCGTCTATGCAAAATGGTTACTTTTCACGACTGTATCATATATTGATTACACAAGTAGTCCCAAAACGGCTAATTTTCCATACATGGTATCACCCCTTCCGAAGGTAAGTCCATCGCCCGCTGACTATTTTGGTAACTGAAAATTCTGTATTACCAAATATGGTAAAGACGAAAAGCTAGTGAGGCCGACCTTATTCACACACGAATTTTATCTGTCACACAAAACCTAAATACAGTATTACTATATTTAAAAAGGCTGTTGAGAAATTGATGGCCTACTTGTATTTTCCAAATTTGATCGGGACATCAAAGCTGCTGAGAAGGCCCAAAGTTATTATATTCGCTTAGTATTTGCGGAATAAAAAGAAAATTTATCATACAATTTACTAGTAAATTAAAAAGCGATGCTGTAAATTAGTGGCATCAAACACTACTTGCGTATCTTTGAGTTGAAGTCGAAAGATTTTGGTAGAAAGTGAGATACTGTATATGTTGACCTTAAGCTGTATATTTTTTTCAGTGTTAATTAATTACATGCTGATAAACTTGTAAACCTATTATTATTGATCAACGACAGATTACCTTAACCAGATGACAATGCAAACTTAAAGTTATCGCTTATTTGACGATTCGATCGTGCTTCGGAGACCACATATAATTCAATCACAAATAACGTGTAACATTAGTAATGTGAGGTTTTTTTTTTTTTTTACACAGCAGGTGAAAATGATTTGCGTGGTTAGAATTAAAGGTACAATGAGGCGCAGGAGAAATTAATGGATTGTATGTCTCGAAGAATATAAGCATGATAATAAAGGTTGAATAATCAGAGCAACCCTCCCCCCCTCCCCTCACCCATACTCCTGCTTGAATAACATATTAACTAAACTTACTAACAGCTCAGCATATAATGTAAAGTTTATTTACTTTGTTCAGACAACCTATTCTTAATTTAACATGATTGCTTATTTTCCGATAATACCAAAATCATTGTGGGTTACATAGTACGTATGGTCGATAGAGATTTTCGAAAATAAAGAGGTTTCATATGTTTTATTAGTAAAATTTCGTCTTGTACTACGTTTGTCAGGGGGGTGTACTTAGCCTTAGAAACATACTCATATATCCATGAATGCAATAGTAACTTAAGTGTAACAGCAGAGGCGTAAAAAAAATAACATAGACGTAAAACAATTAACATAAGTGTAACAACATAAACGTCAACATAAGCGTGAAAAAAAATATATATATACGTGTAACAACGAAAAAATAGTAATAAACGCTTTTCGCTCAGCGAAAGGAGTCAGATTATTGAACAAAAAAGAAAGTAAACGAAAGGTACAAAAAGAGCCTGTCATTTTATGCAGCAACTTGTGAGTTTCTAACAGTTTCACGACTAGTGGAAGTTCTCCACAAGAACTTCAATCCCGCGTTTAAGTCGGTACACAGACAAAATTATCTCGAGAAAGGATCATAGTGCGCACCGTTCCATTGATATTCCTTGTAAAGTAAGATGCCGATTTTTAAAATAGTTAGTCTGAAAGCAAATTACTTGATTGGGCTGAAATAAAGGAATTGACATTAACTTACTCTTTTCTTCCATGCGGTCATCACCGTGTATATCGTATAATCGGTAGATTTCTGGTGGTTCATCATTTTTTTCGTGTCAAGTCTTGAGTAATAAAAAATCAAAGTCCAAATATCGGACGAGCAAAACGAGACTGAAAGAATTGTCAGAAAAAATAAAGATTTGTTTAAGTGTGTGAAAGTGAAAATCCATCCAACTGATGTAATGATTAGTTGAGATGAAGTAAGTGAAACAACGACTGAAATTTTTGCTGAAGAACATAATTTTTTGAACTTGAAAAACTGATATTAAAGAGGACATACAACTCCAAGAAGAAATTTATGACATAAGTGAGGAAAACTAAGAATCGATAATTACTCCAGAATTTCCAACTAGTGAATCAGGAATAGAAAAATCTTATGAAGAAGAGAGAGACCTTAGAAGCGGAGATAATAAAAGAAGCAGAAAGAGATAAACAAAATTTAGTATATTAAACTAGTCATCATCAGAAACTGTTGTTGAAATAATTAATAAACCATCGCAGCTTCACGTTGTGAAGAATGTAAATAACTGACGAGTTTTTAAAGAACGCTGATTTAACTACTAACAATGGTTGGATGTCAAAAAACGAATGACAATACCCAAGCTATTGATGCAGTTAATCAAACACGAAAAGATAATAACGACGAAGATGCATTAATGTTAATTTTGACGCTACTCAGAGAAGTCCATAAACCCCATTCGGGTGAATAATCTTCCAGAGATTATTTCTGTACCCTTATTCTTTCTTTCAATCATAACAGTGAGCTTTTTTGGACCCAATGCAAAATGTATGATTATTAAACATATAACTTATCCATGGATTGTTGTCGAAGGCTTTAAAAATGTTAGAATCTGCTGATACGTAGTGTCATATTAAATTTACATATACATATTAACTTCCAGCAGCACATTTACAGTTATTATTATGCAGCTAGGTTTTCGTTCCAGCTCTTGTTTACGTCAGACGGACTGAATGGCAAAATCCGACTATAATAATAAGCATTTTGAAAGACGTTTTGAGGGTATGCATCAACACTCCAAGCATCTGTTAGATTATCCTCTGCTTTCATAAATTGGTTTGAGATCTCATTTGGCAAGGGATTATCACATAGATCACAAATCCACTGCCCCAAAATTTCATTTAGCTCGGCAGCAGATGGTCTTAATTCTGGGTCAGCACTCCAACATCTTTTCATAAGAGTTTCATAGACAACAGGCATGCCATCTATATGATATGGTCGTAAGCCCTTACAAATCTCAATAGCAAGATTTAAATCATGAGCTCTATCGGCAAATGGTCTATACCCTGATGCAAGTTCCCACATAATGATACCAAATGCATAGATGTCTGCTTCTTGTGTGCAAGGTGCACCCTGCAGAACTTCGGGTGCAATATATGGAAGAACACCATAAATATGATCATTGGTTGTCTTTTCCACTGGTCCACAGAGACCTAGATCTGCAATTCGCGCGTCTGTTGACACGGACTCGTCTTCTACCAATAGGTTTCCTCCATGCAAATCCTTATGTACCAGATTGCGTTTGTGCACGTCATCCAATCCTCCTGCTATTCCCCATAACATATCAATTTTTTCCTTCCAGTTCAAATCACCTTTGATGGTTTCTAAGTATTTATGCAAATCACCATTCTGATAATAACGCATGACGATCATATAAGCACCAGTGGGATCTCTAGTAAAACCAATAGTGTCGGCAACACTATGGCTTTGAAGAGCTTTATAATGAAGTTTCACCTGTAAATTTTTGACATTGTTAGTCATGTCTGAAAGTAGGGAGTCCTACAATTTAGAAAATTAAGAAAGTATAATTCACTTGTTGGATAAAGTAGTCGCTAAGCTTCTGCGAGTTGTCTAGCCTTTTAAGAGCAACCTTCATCGGGCCATTCCGCAGCCATTCTTGACTTCCTTCATCCCAAAGTTCTCTAGGACCTTCAAGCCAGATAGCAGAATAAACGGTACTAAATCCTCCTCTGGCTTCTTCCTGGATTAAAGAAAAATCCAAAAATTCAATGTACAGTAAATAATCCCCGCACTGACGAGCCCCTAGTTGAGTCTCTTTGATCAGAAGGTTCAACTGTATGTTTCCGCTAGTCCATGAAGAATTTTCCTCAAAGTATTGACTCTCACAGTGTTGACACCATGCAAAGTTAGTCCTTGGTAGGAAGCAATCAAGACATGTGCCTTTATCTATGGTTGGCAATTCTTCAGACGTGCTTGGATCTTGCTCGTTTGCATTTGCATTATTACTATACGCATTGGCCTGTAAATCATACTTAAGTTAGTCAGATCTGCCAAAAATATACCAGGATGGTGGTGAATTCGACATGACCCGCTGAAAAAAGGTAAATTCAAGCCAAGAGTTAAGAATATCGAAATAATAAGATTTTGGCCTCCTACACAGGCTCTTTACATAGCCGTTAGGACTATATCTAAGTACGATACAAATTTTACCACTAAAACACAGTAAACCCCCTTTACTTTTGAAAATTTCTATTGTCCATACGCACGATATTCATTCCTGTTATCGCTCAAATATTAAGCTGCAATTTTCTCAAGTGCTACACAAAATTTTTTGTACTTATATGTGCTACCCCCGGAGTACATTATTAAAGCTCCATAAAATTCATTATTAAACAGAGAGAATTTTGTTACTTAAATTGTTTCAACACTTTATTTTGATATAGCTCAAGGGAAAAAATAAATTAGAGGCTTATAATACGCCTATGTTCTATCCTTGATTTTTAGCCTGTAAATAGTTTAGCGGGAGAAATAATCAATACGAAACTTTCTTATGATTATTAAACAATCAGTCTATTTTTATATACCTGTAAGTCATGGCCAAATCGCCACCATCTGATTTCCATAGAAGATTTCTAACTGTAGACAGGGTCATAGTCGCCTGCAAAGGCTAGTATGAGAAAAGTAATCCGATTAGATTCTGTAGAGCTAATTGTTTTTTAAAACAAACTCTTGCATACTTGATCATTGCAAAGCAATTCTAGCCACATTTCAGGCCTTCTCGAGGAAGCACGGCGTTTTTGCGCTTCGGTATCGCTGTCCTGTTCGTCAGATATAGCAGCAGACTGTGCATCCTGAGAATCAGCAGCCGAAAGCTCCAACTTCTCTACTACGTAGCCAAGCACTTTACGGATTCTGAGCATCCGAGGAGCTGTTAATCTAGTATTACTACGTTGTTACAAGGTGTGGATTATAGATGAGATAAAATAGATGGGATAAAATAGATGAGATAAAAGAATACTTAATACGAAAGTAATCATTTGCATATTCTCTACGTCCACTTACCCAGTCGGCAATTCGTTAAGATTTGACCCTTCGTGTGGTTTGAGTACAAAACTGACCTTTGGCTGTTCTTTAACGAGCACTTTATTCTATAATGTATTGATTTATTGTTATCAATTTGTGCCTTCCTGTGAAAGTCGAAAAATCTCTCACCCCGTGCGAATTTTGGCAAGAGTCAATCAACCGGAAAATCATTTAACCTTCACATACCTTAATTAAAAACTCTAATAACCACAAAGGAGCCTTTCCTTCTATGAGTTCTGCATCATTTCCAAGTGTCCCAACTGTACCTCGGTATATAACAACACTTGTCGAGGCTTCTGACGAGTCTTCTGAAATAATGACTTTTGTATGAGGTGGAATATTTATGGTTGGGGTTTCCTGAGAATCTATTCGAGCGAATGGTGGTTGGACAATATAATGTAGTTGTCTTATTGGTTGGCTAATATCAGGAGAAGCAGTTGGAGATGGCGTATTAGGTTTAACTGTTGGATCACTTTTGGAAGTTAGAGAGTCGCTCTATGAAGCAAATAGATGAATTGTTAATAAGACGATATACATGAAAACGGGCTATCTGTAATGAAAGAATCCGAAAAACTGAGGAAAGAGCAAATAGATAGTAATGCCCAAAATGAGTAAGGGACGTGAAATTAAAATCTCTCAGCAGATAAGATGTTAGTATTTAATTGTGATTTTTTAATGCTTACTTTTGTCTCCTCCCCCTCCTCCCCCTCCTCCCCATCATCATCATCTTCTTCAGTTTTCGGAGGTTCTTCGTTATCTTGATCACGATGCACTAGCTTCTTATCTATTACTCTGGAATTGGGATAATCTTTGGGTTGTTCTAGATAGTTTAAAGTTTCAGCCTTAGGGTCCGCATTTGGCGAACGTGTTTTCCTGTTACCAATACTTCTGAATATAGACGTCACAAACGAACTGGATGATCCGGTATTATTTGAGCCTTGATTAACCAATGCTGGCGGAGGTAACTGAATTTTTGTTTGTGGAGTTGTTACCACATTAGTATTATTGTTTTTCTTTTCAGACGTGCTTGCTCCAGACTGTGTTAGCAGCGTAGACGGACTAGTAGGCGTTGATGGTTTATTATGTAATTCGGAAAAATAGTCTTGCGTTGGTCCTGCAGATGCTGGAGCTGTAAAGGGACCAGCCGCGAATGTAGCTAATGACTTTGTCGGAGAATTAGGCATTGCCGCCGCTGTGGGAGATGCGATTGGAGATTGAGTACTGGTTGGAGACTTTGGCGATAGGATATCAATGCCCCTTTGATAAGGTTTTTGTGTTGGACGATCGTTTAAATGTTCAGCTTGCATCGTTGCCGGTGGGAATGAAATGTGATGCGGTGGTGTGGCTCGTGTTGGAGATTGCGGTAAGGCCTCTTGGGTGTATTTATGAATATCATTGAGTGATTGCTGTCTTTGGACGCTCTGTTGTTGCTGTTCCGCGAATGCTCGGCTCTCCTCGTACGCTTTTATTTCAGCCTGTGTAAATTCTTCGAATAGATATCGCAATACCCACTTACCCAGATTGACTTGAAGAAAATAAACTATTAATTCCCGTGGTGATAATAACTGACGGCTAGAACTATTTCTAGTTACCTCTGTAATCTTCGCGGAGTTCATAGTCTTCTGGAGGTGGTTCTATTTCATCTGCATATACCTCAGCATCAAAGCACTGGTACTCGTCTAGATGTATTGTCAGTGCCTTCAATGAAAATCATGTTAATGATGTTGCTGTATGTAAACGTATCATTTAAAATAAGACAACGTCTACAAATATACTCACACCAATTCTAGTGTCTATGGCAGCCCACGTGGGTATTGACTCTATTGTGTTTATTTCCTGGTAAACTTCTTCTAAATCACGCTTACCGAACGTCTTCAATTTAACACACTAATAAAGCGATATATAATGGTTTAATAAAGTGATTCAATAGAAATCTTCAAATTTTGTCTAAATTCCCTTGCCTGAATAATATCCCAGAGTGCGACTTCTCCAGCAGTATCGACTGTTAACACATGTCTTCTGTTGTTCAAAGAACAATGCTTTGTTAGACCGCGTTGACCTAGGGAATAAACGATAAATTGTGCGTCTACTATGAAAAATTGTTTCTCGCAATAATCGAATTTCCCGTCGTGGCATACCTTGAATTGTAGTGTCGGGTGCATCTCTGATGGGAATAGGGTCATCTAAATCGCCATCATCGAATGCAGAATTATCGTGCACATTCATGGAATTAATTGTCGCAGCATCAGAATCGACTGCTCCACCACTATATGATAGGCTTGAGTACGACAATTTAATCAACGCAGAAGACGAAACTGGTGAAATAGGAGATGAAGGAGATGTGGGTGGTGAAGAAGATGCACTTGCAAACGCTTTGGCTCTACGACGTGAGCGGCTGGGAACGTCTAACTGAATATAAATCGAAAACCAATCAGTCATTAAAAATAAAGATATTTTCGAATGGATATGATTACAATAAAACGTACCCATCTGTTGATGGTTGATTTGGCAGTCGCTGTCCATATAAATTCATTGTCAAGTGCCACAATCTTATAATAGATAAAAGTTAAGTATATACGCATGACATTTAAACATGTTAAATATTCGGCGTGAGGAGCTTACTTTCATTACTCCAGTCGACTCTCTTGATATTGCAATACATTCCCCATCTCCACTGTAGTCGGTTCTCGTAACCAAACCGTCCTTACTGCCAGTATAAAAAGTCTCCAGTCTCGGATGGTCAGAGTACAAGGTCCATACCGAGTCTGAGTGAATTGTGAATGTGTTGACACAACGTTGAGCAGATAATGACCATAATTTAATGGTCGTATCGGAAGATCCAGATAGTATCTACACGAAAAGATATGTATACACGCCTTGGTAATAGCTTCAGATGGGCTCGCGCCGCGAACAATCAAAACTTACCAAGTCTCCATCATCGCTGACTAGCACGGCTCTTATATTGTCTGTATGGCCAGTAAATTTCATTATCTGTTTACTTGACCGCGGATCCCATACACGGATTATCTAGATAACCAGCACAAATTAGAACAGTCTTTATTGGTAAAAAAAACACAAGAGTTGTCCAGACCTTCTCTGGTGATCCAGACACAATAACAGTTCCAGATGGATTGCAAGCAAGTGCATAAATAGACGATTTGGGAGATGTCTCGGGGATTAAGGCTATTTCGTAAAATAGGTAATGGCTTTAAAATACGATTATATTATTTCAGTAGTAAATGCGTGAACACCAATTTACCTCTGGGGTTCATATCTGTTAAATCCAAAGACGTAATAGGTGAAGACGGTCGACATTCGTTAATATCCCAAATGGCTATTTTCCTATCAAATCCACCGCTTGCCACCCAACAAGGTCCGGGAGCATATGCAAGCGCTTTGATGTAGTCAGAATGATTTCCAATCGTAATAGACTTGCTAGATTTGTGTGGATGCCATAATTGTAGTGTCCTATCAGATGAGGCAGAGATGACTATTTCATGCCTTGCCATGAAATCATTGTAAAAATATTATTAATAAAGAACGTCGATTTTTCAACGGGTTGAATTGAGAAAGAAGACATACGAGTTTCATTCCCATGACATAACACAATATCATTGACCCAATCTGTATGGCTCTGATACTCTTGCCGAAATGTAGTAGGAATTGACGGAGTCAAGCTATCACTATCGACCTCCCAGCTCTCATTCTCATTCTCATCCTCGTCAACATTCTTGTCCACCAATCCATTGGCGGTTGACGAAGTTACTTTCTTTTGTTGTCTAAATGGTAAATGTAAATCCCAAGAATAAATGAGACCGTCTCTTCCAGCAGTGTAAAGTATTCCTTCTGGTCGCCCAGTGTTGGGATTTACTGTTGTTGTATCAAGTGCTAAGGAATTTGCACCCAAAAAATGACCTTGTTCCTTATTATCGTGTGATATCACATAAGATACTCGACGTCGAGGCCCTCGCCTCATTTTAAAATATACTCAAAGTGATCTATTTTGACGAAAGAGTTCAAATTTAAATAGGTTTAGACACATTGCAATTGATTGGGCAGGACAATTTTTGCGTTCCGTTTCAATTTTCTTAAAATAACCGTCTTAATATAATCTTATTTATGATCTACACGATCATATGCAAATAACGTATTTCTTGATTTGGCGCTAACCAATGCTAGAGTTTTGAATGAAGCATTCGCTCGAGTTTGGAAGACTCGCTAGCTTAGAGTAGGGTATATGATTTAGTTTTGAGAGTGTCTTATAAAATGGGAAAGCAGTTATTTAATAATAATAATAATAATAATGTAACCAACCCCACATAAGCACGCCTACAAAAATCATACTTGTCTGCGCGCGGTCCAACAATAAATAGATTGGCCTATTTGTTCAAATCATTGTTACTTTAAATGTGTCACTGTCTTTGCTAGGTAATAGACATTGTAAGTAAAATGTGTATGACAAACGTTTCGATTATACTTTTTGTAAGAGTGCATTACTGTATATCGTTCGAATTACCCGTATATAGTATGCAAAACTTCTGCAAGACATTTGTTGTGTCTTAATATTAACTATTAATTCCTTACAACCATTTACATCCCCATAATGAAGTTGCATAGAGAAGCCCCATTTATCCAATTTTTTAAATTTTTGACAAATATTTCAGGAAAGTGTTCTCTCTCCTCTCGCTATTCAGCAATGTACATAGCAGCTGATTTCTTTTAATCATCATGTGGACGTTGCATGCTGAACGTGAAACATGACCTCAAATTTTATGCTCTTATTGTGCATCAAAATAATGGTCAAAAACTTGCGAAAGAAATAGGCTGTATGAAGCAACGCCATTGTTAGACGGTCTCCGATAAAAATCGAGCCTGTGGAATATGATCATCTGTGTGCGAAAACGCACAACGCAAAACATCATGAATATCACCACGTTCCAGTTGTGATGCTCGGTCGTTATTATTATTTTGTCTGGCTGTTCAACAACACGTGATTTAAATCGAAAGATCCTTGGATAATCACATGCACCAGAATTATCTAAAAATGTCGTCAATCTCCCGATGTGCACAATAACTGAAGCAACGAAATGTCTAACCAAGATGATGACGTGCAATACGAAACAGGTTCCGAGCGAGCACTTAGGAAAATGAAGGAGGAACCACTGGTTCCCGCAGGTTGATTTACCGTTCGCTATTTCAATCTCTTTAATCAATTCCTCTAATATCTATAATATTATAATGATATAGGAATCTTTGTAACTACTTTCGCAATTGTTGCAGCAGCAATCAACTTGCACAGAGGAAATTCCGCCATGTTTCAAAAAATGTTGAGACTACGTGTGGCTGCGCAAGGATTTACTGTGGCTGTTCTTCTTGGGGGGGGGGGCCTAATGTATCAACATAAACGAAAAACCTAAGCCGTGACGACAGAAGCAGGAGAGCAAGTATGAAGGAAATGGAAGTTGGAATTGCTGTTTTGAGCTACGCTTTACTGTCTATTAAGTAAGAATAGCTAGCGCACACATGTAATACCATCATTACATTCCGATTTTTATACATCGGATACGACAAAATTCATTAAAAGTTGTAATTGGTGCACTCTTTGGGTTGACAATATTGAAAAGCAAACCCCGTATATCAGGAGTTGTTAGACTTCAACCTAATTCAGATCGTTGAGGTCTAAAAATTTTCGGTATCTTTTACTATTACCTTCCATTCTTGGGTTTGTTTTCTTGGCAGCGATAAGCTCAGTTACATACTAAGACAAGGATTAACTAATTACCAATCACGACTGCAATTTTGAACCGAGGAATTGAATGTAATTATTGAAAGTTCAGAAAACTGGTAAAGGCGATAAGTTTATCTAGTAGTTACCTTCTGGCAATTGAAAAGAAGTTTGTTATTGCTTGTTGGTTTCATGAAGGAGTTACGTTCTTCATTTACTGAGCGCTTGATAAATATCTGCCAAATTACCAAAACCCAAAGTAACAAGTAATTATGTGCGGCTAACTACTTTTCCAGCAATCAAGAATATTATAAACGATGGATTCCAGCATTATCACCCGTTGCGCGTCAGCAAAATGGCACAAGATTAGGAAACTTTAGCAACATCGATAGCGCTACTGTAACAAATCAATTACTTGATAACATTTAAAAGGGAACTATTGTATGAGGTTCCCTCAATTATTCGAATAGTTTGTGTTTACTAAATCACGACCTCGGTCATATTCCCGAGCTCGACGGTTAATACGTAAATAAGCAATTGCATTCTATCAATATGCAAAAAGCGCAATTTTTTGAATTTTGAATTAGTTGATCATTCTCATAATATTAATTAAAAAAAAAAAAAAAGGCTGGCTCGCTTGCAAACTGTTGATTTGAGTTTCCATGCAAGAATAAACTTTGTGATATGGTAAACCAGAACTTTATAGAGTTTTAAGTCCATTTGGTGAGCAAAACGTTTGGCAGACATTGCATATTAATATAGGCTAATCCATTTCTTTGGTCACTCTGGTGCAAATATAAAATATGTAATTTTTAAATTTTTGTCTGAGATCTTCATTAATCGAAAGAAGGACGACCTTGCTAAGTAATTTGCATTATTAGGGCATAATGCAACAAAACCACTTCACGCGTATCATTAACAAGTATGTGAATTTCATGAGCATTGGATTCTTGGTTCGTGGGATTAACGACGAAAATTGATTTGCATGTTCAAAGAATTCATGCATTTACCATTAACAAATATGTGAATTTGGATTCTTGGTTTTGGTGATTAATGACGAAAATTGATTTTGCGTCTTTGAAGAATCAAGCCAGCCGTTCATGCATATTCAAATCGTACTTAATATTCTCTGTCAATTTTTTGCATCCCACGTTGGCAACAGTTACCATTAACCAGTATGTAAATTTCATGAGCATTGGATTCTTGGTTGGTGGGTAGTGATGATTAACGACGAAATTGATTTCGCGTATTTGAAGAATCAAATCTGCAAATTATAGATTCGCCAATTACTAGTACTGAGTTGGAACATTATTAGTAGGGAAGACATGTCTGAGCCAGTTAAACAAGTGATCATATTAATCGGTACAACCAAAAACTTAGTCATTTGACGTTCACACAACAAACATGCACATATCAATTAACATTCAAATTTTTATTAAGATTTATTACAAAAAAAAAAACAAAAAAACTATATACAAAAGAACACCCAACTACTCTTCTATTCCTCCTTCTATAGATGTGGGGGCCGCCGTGGGCGGGAGCAATAACATGGGTGCCAGGGGCACTGTCGATGTCGTTGTGTTAATGACATCGATGTGGGTGCCGGGGGCACTGATGTTGTTGATGATGATGCTGATATAGACGCATGGGCCGGGAACAATCTGGGTGTCGTGGGCACTGTTGTTGTTGTTGATATAGACGTGGGGGTGCCGTGGGCACTGTTGTTGTTGCTGATATAGACGTGGGGGGTGCCCGTGGGCACTGTTATTGATAATGGGACCGAGTATCCTGTTCATATAATTATAGTTAAAAGGCTGTGCTGTCAGTCAAAACAAACGACATATAAACAGTGTTGAAATGAACCTTGTATGATATCTAAGAAATAGATAATCTCCTCCTTATCATATACAAAGTCGCCCAGACGAGCACTTAAGGGGTCGTCTGAGCAGACTAAAAACTCCCCCCGAGCACTATAAACGACAATCTTCTTGCATCGGTATGGGGGGTCGTCGCGCCTGACGCGGAGCAGAAGTTCCTCAAACGTTATGTGAACGGCGACTGGTGATACGCTGTAGCACTTTGTTATCCGCCCGCTGAATCCAGGGATTTTCGTCCACGTTCGCACCCGCAACTTCACCGTATAATCTTCTCGTTTCGTGATGGACATTTATGAATATTAATATTAATGTAATGTTAGTGGGTGGGTGGGTTATATGCTACGCGTATTGCTCTCTTTTCGCTATTCCGCGGTTGAGAGAGGGAAAAAAAAGGGGTGGTTAGAAGAAATATCATCTCGAAATGGTAGTACTGGCAATAATCGGGAATTTACCTGCAACCTGCCAGGTCGTGCAGGCTCAAATATTATCCCTTCATTGGACACTCAGATGGCTTCTCCTCCATAAATAAAAATATTATGGACTGACCTGGCAGGTAAATTCCTGAGAATGTACTGGCATACGTGGTAAAATTCGGAATGTTTTCTAGTAGTAAATTTTCTTTCAGCGCTGTAACATATAACATTATTGTTATCTGTAAGCCATACTAATAATACTTAAGCTGATTAACAGATCTTGTATTAATATCATATATTGGAGTGAAAACGGAAACTTTGAGCTGGGGACTATTGACTAGTGTACCCATATTATTAAGAATACGAGATCCTGATCCTGATTATCAATCACTGTATTTAAATCAGGTTGTGTGCATCACGCCATGCTCAATAACCACTTGCATGCTGGGATAATTGACCGTCTGAGTTTTGGACAAATCGGTATGTGCGAATTCTGTTCAGAAAGAACGGTACAGGTACCACGGGACATGCAGAAAACAGATGGGTAAACAATAAATATAAAATGTAAATATTTAGAAATGGTGATACAACCAAATATAGGAATTGGTAATGCCACTATGCAAATAGTCTACATCTTGTGTTTCTCTATCAATAAATCGACCACTTGATAAGTCGCTTTTGGCTTAAGATTTCTTCACTGTTTAAAAAAAATTCACGCATCGCGATGAGTCGGTCTCACATGCAAGTGTAAGACGCCAATTTAAACCGGTTGGTTGTATGATCGTTAAATATACTAAGCGAGAATTGTACAATCGAACACTAATATGTCATTAGACTTATACGATAACGCCTCCGCTTGCCGAGTTAATCCCTTATCTTGTTTGTTTGTTACTCACAGTGGCTGCTGTCGTATCGTAAATATGGCAAGAGAATCTGAAACTCAAAATTCCTACGCGCAGAATAGGAGGTTTACTTACCGATAGCTCAAGCAATGAGTGTAATTTTCTTTACAACCTCTGACTTGCAGTTATTTCGAGCAGTATAACAGTCAAGTTACTGAATAAACTTTAAAACTAAATCTACTGTCCTTGAAGTAAATAATTGAGGGTTCTACGTAACGTTCTATAGTATAGACATTACGCTAACTTCTGTAAGCTGGCTTATTTAACCTCCTAAGCAATAGACACTTCCATTCAACAACAGCAATAGAACTAATATTAAAACAGCAACTAAATTTGACGCGTCTATTTAAGAAATTTCTTATACTCATCCTAGTGAAGAGGTTATTTTAATAGCAGGCGATAAATTTAATTAATTCACTACGAAATTGTAATATTTTATTTAATATAACTTATTAACGTTGAATAAGCCTATGTTATTAGGTTATTACAACCCAACGTCTAGTAGGTCATGTTGTTACGTACAGTATTTGCGCTATTGACCTACCTAGAAGTACGAGCGCGTAGTATTGTTGGTTTTTTTGCGGGAACATGGTATTTAAACGCATTTACCTATGATGGGATGTATAAATGGTACAAAATATATATTTACAGTTATTATCCCATTACTGAGATCAGTTATTGTCCTACTAATTTCTATTATGTCATCGAAAGAGAATGTAGTCGTTGCAAGCTAATTGAAACTTTTCGCGGAACATAAGCTGTTACGCTTTAAGTAATATTGTTTCCATTTTGTTTTCTATTTTAGCGTCAAATATGTGAACAGTTGCCAAGTTGTTTAAACCTTTTAATTCCAATACTGCAATAGTAATAGTCGCCTTCTTAAAAGTATAGTGACCAGCGAGACTGAGGCTTAAGTTCAGATTAACGGCGTCTTCAGATTAACGAGTTTTGTTCTCAATAATCCGAACTTGCTATTACTATTGAATTCAATAATAATTCGTTTACAACTTGAGTCTTTATTATTATTTAGTTACTATTATCACAACGCGAAAAATGTCAATATTAATATGTAATTGTTGCTTACTTTGAATTTCAAGTACTTTAACCATTCGGTGTAACTCTTTGAGATGATGTCGAATTTTTGTTGCATATTCTTGTCTAATAATCTTATCGATGCTTTCATTGGCTAATGCAAGCGAAACTGGTTTTCTGGTTTTCAATGCCTGTGACAATTTTTCTTTTGTCGTTTTGGCTTAGGGTTCATGATCAAAATGAATTCAAAGAGAGAGTTAAATTTTATAAGATGATGAGATTCCAAACTCGCGGATTAACGCAAAAAATCTTCACGAGTATTACCGTTACACTACACTAATACTAACTAGTACAATCTGATCACACAATTACACAAAGATTATCTATTAAGACCCGCTTAGCAATAAGGTCTTATTACAACTTGAAACTCTGTAAGCAATGGATAACTTTATTGATTTGCCTTCGAGTCTCTCAGCTGATTACGAGAAACTGTATGAAAGTGGCAGATATACAGATATTTCAATCCATGTTGGAAAGGAGCCAAATAGCAAAATTTTTTTCGCTCATATGGTGGTATTATGTACAAGAAGCAAATTCCTTGAGAATAACTTAACCGAGAATACAGAGGCGCCCGATGCGATTCAAAGGGCTGCCATAACCATCGAAGATATGTCTCCTGACATTTTCGAAATATTGCTCAGGTAAAATTCACGAGACATGTGTACAAGTTGTATTATATATTATAATGTCAATGTTAATACTCATTGCATACTCGACGATTGATTACAGATATATTTACACGGGGCGAATGTCTTACGATTTGTGCAAGAATGCAGGTTGGATTAGCCTTTTGGATGGAGCTAGCAAGTTTGAACTAGTTGATCTCCTCACTGCAATTGAAACTTATTTGATTGATAAACAAAATGAATGGATTCAACAGAACATTCTTACAGTTCACAAGTATGCTGCATCTACAGTCTCTTTGAACAAACTTCTGGCATACTGTAATCAATTTATGGTTTCCCACCTGGATATTATCTTTAAATCGAATAATCTTGCAACCTTACCAAAGGAGACTTTGGTCACTCTTCTTAAAAGTGATGAGCTAAGCATGGATGAAGGTGATATTTGGATGTCAGTCATACAATGGGCCACTAAACAAGTGCCTGAACTAGAGCTTGGAAATGATCCAAATGACTGGTCATCTAATGACACTAACACAATTAGAGATATTATTGCTGATTGTATTCCCTACATAAGATTTTTCAATATCTCCCCTAAACAGGTTATTCTGTATGAGGATTTATTACCAAAGAAGCTACGTCATGATATACTGAATTATCATACTGACAAAGATTATAAACCAAACACTCAGAAGTTACCACCAAGAACAGGGAAAGGATGCAAATTACCATCAAAAGCAGGACAAGGATATGGTATTGATTCAGTTATCATTAGCAACAAGCAAGCAGAATGGATCTCATCAAAGATTGTGGAATCGACAAGGCGACTGCAAGAGAATCAAGGGGTATCTATTACTATTAAGCAAAATGATGTTTATAAGCTTACCCTGCTTTATAGACGAAGCAGAGATGGTGGTGAAGTTGCAAAATTTAGAGAATTGTGTAATAACAAAGGACCTACAATTGCTCTTGGGAAAGTGTTGGGTACTAAAGAAATACTTGGTGGATATAACCCATTTTCATGGGGTACAGAAGACAATATAAATAATGTTGTTTCAACTAATGAAAATTTTATATTTTCATTTGACACTAACACAGATATGGGTCTAGTAAGTTTTGTTTGTAATTCCAAAAGAGCCATTTATGATTATAAAGATTGTTTCCCTTATTTTGGAAGTGATTTATATTTTGGTGGTGACAGGACATATACATACTGGTGGGGTAATTATAATAGTAGTAAACCTTTTGCAAGAAAAAATTTCTACCAATTTCCAATAAGATGTTCATCAGATCGTTTTGAATGGGTTGATTGGGAGGTGTTTTTGGTTTCAAACCTTTGATTTAAATTTAGGCATTTGAGGGGATTTTTTCGTATCTATTTAAACTAAATATAAATATTAATTCGTAACACTTCATAATAATAATTGCGAACTATTCTTGCCATCACTCATGTATGTGCTTGTATTTAACAATGATTCGTTACCAATATTTACTATTCGACATCAATCTTGTTTGGACGAATTTCACAATCGCATTTCTTAAATTTTGAGAGGCAAGTATACGTGTACTTCGTATATGCACGTTGTATCTTATTCGCTTTCTTTGTGTCTGAAGTATTGACTTTCCGTATGCACGTCGAGTATTCTTTCGACAGTAACTGCAAGTAATTCTGAAGTACAGTATTCAGCTATTGGCTAAAACATTCATGCGAATATCATATTTATCCCATGACCGAACAGACACTTTCTCAACGCGTCGGTCAGTTAAGCGAAGTATTGATATTTCATATGTATCAATCGCCGCACCCTCGATAATCACGTGTCCGTCTTTCTTTTCGTTATCACTTTACCACTTTTTGTTGCTCAGCAATAAAGTCTTGCCACGAATTGAACATGAATAATTGACTTGCCTTCAGGTCTTTTTATGAAAGTGGCAGATATACAAATATTTTAATTTACGTGGAACAAGAAGCAAACAACAAAATCTTTCTCGCTCATATCAGCGTTTTTTTCGCGAGGTGCTGCATCCCCCTCACCGCGACAATAAGGCCCTGTAGTGTCAATGCTTAGTATGAGGCCACCGACTTAACATACTATTCAATTATCTATTTGCGATATCTCCAAGAGCGGATATAATTACTAATTATTATTTAAAGAATAATTTTTCTTCTGCTATATTTTTACTATTGCAAGATGAATGTATTGAATTTCCCACTGTGCTTACTACGAATCTAAAATATTGATGGCAGCAAGCTTTAGTAATTATCACCGAAGGAGAAATAAAATTATTCTGTTCTCGTTAATATTAAACAGCCAAAACAATAGGGTTAAACGATATATCTAACGGAAACCTTGATGAAGCGAATTTCCATAAATAGTTGCTATCGATAAAGCTTAGAAAGCTGTATTAAAGCAAATATAATGATAACAAATACATGGGAAAGAAGCTATGAATCTGGGTTGGCTCATGACCATTCTTCCACGAAACAAAGTTTAGTTTGTTGTTGTTTGCGCTTTTCAAAATACAACTGTTCCTCGGAACGATCAGGATTGGTCAATTGGACGTTGTAATCCAACTCTAGTGTTGGCACACTCAATCGTTGATTTGGCTTCTTTGCCTAGTTAAATTTACCGTGCGTCTATGATTCAGTTCGTTTTATGCCAGCAGGTAGCGGTACAAACAGACTTCTAATTCATTTCTGATTTCTAGAATACGAGTGATCAAGTTACGCTGTTAGCCTGGAATGGCATCCGGAATAATCGAGAAAACCATGATAATATATACTTTTATAACCGTCGAGCAGTCAGCTAGTATTCCTGCAGACTTGCCTATTGCTTGAATGCACCATTCGATATCAAATGTGATCAGAGTGCTAAACAACTACTTTAGAATCAGTTTATCGGTTATTATTATTTTCACAAAACCGTTTAAGAAACATTGTTCGCGTTACTATTAGAAACCGGCCCGCGATAAGCGTAAACAGTAGGTAACAAAGGCTGACATGATCAAAAGACTAGAGTAATACAGGGTGCAAGTTATATATTACATCCAGCTGAATATTGAAAAAGCCAATCGCAACTATGCATAACTTATGACTCCTATACATACAATGATATCATTAACTTTAGTGGTTCAAGTTCAAGACGTTCCATACGACCTTTTGCAAGCGGATACACTGTATTTGAGCCGAACGATTTTGCTGTTCTTGCTTCTTCCACTGGTTGTGCCGAGGTTTAACCTTTTTAAGGGAGGTTTCCAAATTTGAATGTAGATGATACATAGACACGAGAAATTAAAAATGTGGAACACTTTGATTGTTCTTTGTCTACTACTACTAATTCATTCTCTGGAAAAAATGCCCAATTACAGTGATTTGTGCGTATATAAACTATTAGTCAACATTGTAAAATGCAATCTGTCTTTCGTCATTGTCGCGAATCATAGTTCACGTGAAGTATTTGCACACGCGCGGGGAGATTGTGAGACAACGGGAATATAAATGATGTTCGCATCATCACTGATATCTCTTACTTCTCTCTGACTTTGGTACAAGCCTTACAAATAACTTTTCCTTGCTCAATACATGACTGCTATTTGAATTTAGATATCATCAAAATCTGACGTCGAAAATTCATCGTATTCAACCGCGTTACGTGTCCGATTATTTCACCAGCGTGTGACCTTCCGCGCAGCGATAAACCATGAAAACTGAAACAGAGAGACACAAAACTCAAACCTTTAGTTCAAAACAATGGACCGAGGGGGACGACCAAATCCTCTTAAACGCCCTTGCTCGTCATAGTGACAACTGGGAACTCATAGCCAAGCGGTATTTCCCAAGAGTACGCACCCCTGCTGACCTAATAAGCAGATATGATTGGCTTCTCGCTCTTGACATAGCCGCAGACGCCCCCCCTTCGGGCGCTAAGTGGACCGAGAAAGAAATGCAAGCACTTTGTGCTGCTGTACAAATACATGGTACAAACTGGAACTACATTACAAACAATATATTCCGAGCTCGTCGGACTGAGAACGCTTTACGTTATAAATGGTCCGAACTTTCTTCCGATAAATCGTTGAAAAACCCGGACGAATGGACCGAAGAGGAGATCAAAACACTTCTAGTGGCGGTCAGTAGAGTCGGCACAGATTGGGATTTAATATTACGCGAGTATTTTCATTCAACACGAGATCGACATTCCGTGGCGAAAAAATGGAATTATATTTTGTGGAAACGTAAGGTAAATCTCCATGGCCTTGATATCAATTCGTTGCCGCCATCTAAAGGTAAAGCCATTGCACGGAGGCTACTCGAGCGTCTTGGCTATAAAGACAAACAAAAGAAGAAGACTGCAGGGGCAGACAAGTCGAAGGTGACTAAACCATCAGTGAAGCCTTCTGTTTCGGCGAGATGGACAGACAGCGATATCAAGAAACTTCGTGCGGCAGTCACAAAATATGGGACAGTCTGGGACGCAATCGTCCACGAATGCTTTCCGCACAGAACCCCCGAAGCAGTCCGAAAAAGATGGAATATGGTATGCAGTGAACGAAAAAAGGTTAAGGCTGATACGGCCAGCAAATCAAGATCTGCTTCCCTGAGAGTGACTAGACATTCTTGGAAACCAGCTGATATCAGAAAATTACGTGCAGCCGTGGCGAAACACGGTGAAAATGAGTGGCAACTTGTTTCAACAAAATATTTTAACTCTCTGCGAAGTCCAGAGGCGGCTAAGCGCAAGTGGCGCGAAATTATGCAAACGAATGTAGAGCTTAGCGATTCTTCAGAGAGTAGTGTACAGTACCCATCCAGTGATGACGACACCTCTTCCGACTTCTCGATCTCTTCGCAGAGACCCTGGACGGAAGCAGACAGTGAGATACTTCGCATCGGGGTTACTTATGTCGGCACGGATTGGAAGCGCCTTGCTCACGACTTCTTTTACAACAAAAAGGCACCTAACATCCTTAGTCGTCGATGGAACCTGATTAAGAATAGGTTTCCAAAGAAATTAAACAAGGCTGTCCAGACTGATCCAACTGGTCGTCGAATAGGTTCCATCTCATCCGAACAGTCCAAGTCTGTCAGTCGTTGGAGGCCTTGGACAGAAGATGACATAAGGAACTTATACATAGGGATCCGCGAATATGGATCTGACTGGCAAAAGATCGCGGACAAAATTTTTCGAAAGTCGAGAACTGCTGGTGCTCTCTATTGCAAATGGACTTCTCTTGAAAACCCGACTCCTACAAAAAAGGTCAAGTCAATAACAAAGAAGAAGATAAGCAAGAAGAACATGGTAAAGAAGACAGCTGACCGATCATTGCTGAAAAAGCCCTCAATTGTGGAAGATCTATGGACGGATATGGAACTAGTAAAGTTGAGAGAAGGTTTCCAGAATTTTAGGGATGACTGGAATACTATTGCCAAAAAAATCTTTCAAGGAACGCGATCACCCGAAACTCTGAGCAGTACATGGAATGCATTGCAAACTGACGGTTCTCTGACCGAGCCATGGACCGAAGAAGAAATCGAAAAGTTACGCGCTGGTTTCCAGGAATATAACACAGACTGGTCTCGCATCGCAGAAGAGCATTTTAATGGTTCGAGGACTCCTGGAGCGCTCAATCGTTGTTGGGAACTTCTTAGGGATAAGGGCGTCCTCAAGAACATGAAGTTGTCAAACGAGAAAACAAGTCCGACTCGTGCTAATAAATGGACGGAAGAGGAAGAAAAATTACTTATAAAAGCTAGCGATGAATGCGAGCAGGACTGGGAGCTGATTTCACGTAAGATTTTCCAATTAAAGCGCACATCAGAGGCGCTAAAACGCAAATACTTTAGTCTGATGAAATCAAACGCCGCCGACGAAACGTACCACATACCATGGAGTTCCGAAGATCACCAAACACTTCTGGATGCCGTGGAAAGATATGGGATGGAGTGGGAATTTATCTCCAAACGCTTTTTCAATGGCACTAGAACTGCCCGTACTCTCAGACGAAGATACATTGTGATTATGCAAAAGACCAGTCCGGATGCTGGCGAAGTATGGTCATTGAATTTACGAAGTGGTACGAAGCGCTGGTCTTCTGCTGAGACCGAAACACTTCGTAAAGCTTTTGAGATACATGGGGAGAAATGGGATTATATCTCGCGTAATTGTTTTTCCTCCAAGAGGTCCGCGGACTATCTCCGCTTGAAGTGGGAAGAAATAAAGTCCAAGACTTCTGGGAAGCTACCTGGGCCCTCGAGCGGACGCAAATGTGAAAAGACAATTGAAACAACGATCAAAAAACCCAAAAAGAACGAGAAACGTGTTGAAAATGTACAGCCATGCCTTCCAGAAACTGCTCATATTAGTGGTCGTAGCGGAGATAAATGGACGGAAGCTGAATCTCAAATACTGCTCAAGGCGGTTACTGAACACGGTCCCGACTGGCATACTATTTCGCGCGAAGTATTTGGGACAAAGAGATCTATTTTCGGTTTGAAGGCAAGGTGGAAACGTATTTGTCAAGATCAATCCAAGAACGTGATTGTGAAGCAGGAAGATGAAAAATGTTTTGATAAGGAACGTAAACTCAGCAAACAAAAATTACAAGATAATCTGCGGTCGACAATCCGCGGATATAACGCGAAGACTCGTTTGAATCGTCGAGGCGTCAAGCTAGCCAAACGTGTCCGTCGCGTGGGTGAAAAGTGGACTGAGAAAGAGACAGTGAAACTCTGGAAAGCTGTCACAACTCATGGGTTGAAATGGAAGCAAATTGCACGCGATTACTTTAATTCTAAACGTCGACCCGCGGCGCTTGAGGGACGTTGGTATCGCACCAGATCTCGAATAAGCCCATTTGTACCCATAATGGCTCAGAAGCTTCCTTCATGGACTGAAGCTGAAACCGAGTGGCTTCGCACAGGCGTTAGGAAATTCGGTAAGAATTGGTCACTTCTTGCGCGAGAATGTTTTCCATCCAGAACACCTTCGTCGCTCGAGAAGCGATGGGCACATATCCATGGAGATGATCCTCAGGCGGAGGGAGAAGATATCGAGCCGGATTATGATGACGAGGAGCTCCCTGTTGAATCAACCGTAGAAGCAAATAGTCTATCATGTGACAGTGGAACAGAACTCGAGTTGGAAGAGGATGAGATTGAAACTGAGGAAGAAGATGTCGGAATGGCGAGTCTTCCATTAGGAATCGAGCAAAGAAACCTGCTCCCTGACAGTTGTCAGCAAAGAAATTGAATGCATATAGTCCGAAATTGTACAAGACATAGAATATCAATTTGCTGTCGCCCACTCCAAGTGAGTTCAGCATGTCAAGTGTAAATATTCAAATTCAATGAGATAGCACAAACGTATGCCGTATAACACGATAATAAATTCGGCGATCGGTTTATTCAACTTTGTTGTTGGTAATATTACACTTCTATTGTAGCGTATTGAATGTGCAAATTAATTTTACATCTAATGCCGTCCAAGATATCGTTCAAACTCTTTTACTTGACATATTTATTCATGAATTTCCTGTGAAAGTCACTTCTCAAAGTGTCATTGATAAATCTCTTGTTTGGTTTGTCGTCTACACCCCGCGCTTGATTCTTAAAAATCACATCATCGTCCCACCTGTATACGGAAACAATTATTGAGCGGACTGTGAAAAAGAAAAGCTTTCAGATGGCGTAACCAAAATACCTTCGCTTTACGCTGAAATCTCTGTTTAGTAATGGATTTCCCAGGGCTATCTCTTCCTCCCGTCTCTTGGCTTCTTCCACCTGAGCCTCTTGTTCCTAAAATACGTGATTAGAGTTTTCGCAGTTGTAGATCATAAATAAATACGAGACAATTGTTCGTACCTGTCGTTCCCGCTCCTCCGCACGCTCCTTTTTTATTTTTTCCAGTTCCCGGAGTAATTCTGCTGTATCGTCTTCCTCATCTTCGGCCTCGTCCTCTGAGCTATGCATTCACAATTCAATTACGTAAACATAACAAAAATAAACTATATTCAATGATGTATAGTGGCCATCTTACCTCTCCTCACTCTCGTCGCTATCGTCGTCACTATCGTCAGCATCAAGTACAGCAGCTTCTAAAAGTTTCTGTCGCTTTGCTTCGAAATCCTCACCGTATGGCTCGACATCGTTAGTGCTACCAATTTCTTTTCGTTTCTTTTCAAAGTGTTCCTGTTCGGCCTTGAGTAGCTGTTCGCGGAGATTAACCTCTTCGATTTCTTCTTGTGTTGTCTGACCGGGCCGCCTGTAGTTTACTTTTATCGTTATTCAGCTGAGCTGCAAGAGAACTAATGGATTGTGATTTAATCTACTGACCGGTATTTTAGCTTTGTGTGTGAGGCTAGATCGCGAGAACTATATTGAAGAGTCGGAGCCTTATTGTCGTGGCCTCGAGCGGGATCGAAGGTTGGTCTTGCAGCGGTAGTCATAATAATAACTGTGGAGAGACTTTAATACTATTCAACGTTTGAGAATTGTTGAGGTGCGGCAATGGAATTTGTCACGAGTTTGTATAACTACACTAACCTACCAAAAGTATACAACAATCAATAGAAGTGAGATCAAATTTAACAAGTAATAATGCAAATTTTCTGAAATTTAGACCAAATAAATTATTATTATTTGTAATTAAGCCATCGTGTTTTT